TGCTTGAAACAAAGCCAGGCAAGATATGTCAAAGGACCCAGCACAAGGCCAAAGGCAAGCTGGAGGCCTGCAAAAAGGCCATGCTTTGATATATGGCTTGTTTCCTCTGTGTCACCAGTGCTTGCATTATGAGGAAAAGATGTGCATATTGCTTTCCTGCAGCAGCAACTATAATTAGTAAATTTCTGGATTGAAAAAAATCAATAATTATATATTGATTTTTTCCAGATCCATTTCAATAATTATTGAAAATATTTTTCAGTAATTATTGAAACCGATATTGATTTTTTTCAATAATTTTGGATTTTCAATCCGGATTGAAAAAAGTTCATAATTATTGAAAAGACCAATCGGATTGAACAATTTCAATCCCTGGACCCTCAGGGAGGCGATTGCTGCCTCAGCTCGGCCATTCTGCTGATGCTCATCAGGACATAATTGCGTCCTCACCGTCGCCCTGTTTTTGCACCATGCCTTGAACTGTCGGTTGGTAAAGGCCATCTCAGAGTCAGTGTGGATTCTGAGGACTAGGTAGCCATGCCTTCGCAGGTTCACCAGCATCTCCTGTGTGCCCGCTATAGGACGTCCATTGAGCTTTTTGATGGTAGAGGAACACAGGTCATCAGCTTCAGCACCTTCTTTGCCTTGAGAACTTCTCCTCAAGTTCCTGTTCTCGGTTCCTGTGTGCTCCACCTTCATCCTGCTGCTCCTCGGCCTCTTTCTGTTGATCCTCATCCTCTTCTTCCACTCTTCTCCCGCCGGCCTGGCGAACAGCTTCTCGTCGATCCTCAGATGTCTCCTCATCATCAAGTTGTGGGAGTGGCTCCTCACCTTCTTCCTCAACCTCATTCTCAGTCACCCCGTCATCGTCCAGGTCAATTGGTTCTTTCCCCTCCGCAGGCCACGTGTTGGAGCTGACCAAGAGATAGCGCTGCTCATCGCCATCGATGTCCTTCCCCACTTCAGCGGCCCACAAAGGTCCAATGCCAGAACATGAGCTTCTGGATGTTATTGTCGTCGATGAGGTCGTCGACTTGCGGAAGCCCGTTGACAGATGACGCAGTCCCTTCTGAATGGAACGTATCCATTGGCTACATGCTCCTGTCAACTAAGGTTTCTCATCATCACCTGTTTGTCCTGCACCTGCTGTGTCAGGGCGGTGGCAATCTCCCTCATCATCCCTGGAGCCCATCTCACAAGCTCCCTGGGGTCAATGTCAGGTCCATCTTCTCGAGATCGTCCACCATGTCAGGCAAGGTCAGTTCCAAGTTGGTTCCCAAAGTTGTTGGTTTCCTCGCAATGCCCCCAAAGTCGCCCTGCATGAAGGTGTATACTCCTTGAAGTGGTAGAAGAACTTCATCGTCTGCCAGCACTCCAACTTCCAAAAGGATGCGCACTCCGGATACCTCTCAGAGATCGCCGGCTGCTCAATCAAAAATGCCACATGAGGCTTCAATGCCTTCGTTGTGTTGTTCCTCAAGGTGACGTCTCTCCCCATCTGGGCCACCACATAGAGCACTATCATCCTCAGCAGCATGACGTCATCCTCAAAAACCTTCTGCCACTGCAAACCACTCAGGTTTATATCTGATGCCGTCCTGCAGTTTGGTCCACCGACGACTCCATCGATCCAGCCGTCCATAGCCATCCTCAGGAGAGCTGCATACTTCGCATCGTCTGCCATCATGTCGTCAGCTCTGCCTCGGACAATGTCCAGCTCATAGAGTTGCGTTGGATCACCTCCAGATTCTTTGAGAGCTCTTCCAAGAGTGTACCCCTCGTCAGGCCCTGCATAGGGATGCACGATGACACCTTCTCTCTGCCATCGCTTTCTGATCCTCCGGTTGACGCCAAGCTTGCTCAAGTCTGCCGCCGGGACATCAAGCAGTTAATTTCTTCTGCACCTCGATTGGCACGCTCTTGAAGATCGGGTGACCCTCGCTTCTCAATCCAATCTGCCTCCGCATACTTTACCTCCCTCTCTGAACGCTGCAGTGACCTCAGTGATGCACCATCCTCCAGTTCATCGATCAGCTGAAGCGCGACCTCAGAGGCGATCTGCGGGCAGTTTCCACAATGGCGACAATGACTTCGCCTTTTTCAGGATGGTCCAAAAGTGCTTAAGTCCTATCCTTCCATTCAAACTTAATGACATCCCAACTCCTTGACCAACTTCCCAACTGGGACTATGGGTTCCACTTGTTGATCTTGATGAACCAAAGTTCCCCCCGAGGTCATCCACATCGTTGTAGTTCCCCCAGCCGATAGGTTCACCCTCACCTCTTTGAAACCTTCTCCTCCGAATTCCTCATTGGTCTTTCATGGCATGTGTCGCACCAGTACCAAGCAGTGCATTCAGGCCGGTCTTGATCCTGGCGACTGTTGCCGTAGATCTGAACATCTTCATCGAAGGTTTCCAAGATCCCGCTTCCATGGACTGCAGCTCCTTCCGCAGCTCCTCAAGTCTCTTCTTCTCTTGGACCTTGTCCGCCTTCTGCTTTTTGTCCTCTGGGACATTGATCACCCTCAACATCTTCGAGGCTTCCTCCAACATGCCCGGCAACGAGTTATCTCTCCCCGTCAGGACAGTCGCAATCCCCTCAGCCTTGACCTCCTCAACTCCCTTCTGTGGCACAACCTTGGTCGCTGGCTCCTCCTGGGTCTGCTTGGACTTGGTGAGCTTCTGAACCTTGGCGTCCTTCTGGGGACTGGTTGAAGATTCCTTTCGTAGGCACTCCTTGGCATAGTGTGTGGTCGCCCCACAGCAGTAGCATCGGCGTTCACCTGGTTCAAGAGTATGAGCAAAGGTACAACTTCCTCCTCTCCTGCAACCTCCCTCAGTGTGGAAGAACTTGCACTCCTTGGCAACCTTCTTGGGCTTCTCCTCAGACGTAGCTCCTCCAGTTGGTGTCGGTGTCGGCTTCGATGGTTGCTGCTGCCCATAGGCTTGCGCCACAGTCACCTGCTTGCCCTTCTTCTCCGTGTGGACCCACGCATGTGCTCGCTGAACGTGCTGACCGTCTGGCGGTTGGGCACGGTGTCCAGCTGCAAAGTGTTCCGCACCACCTCATCAGAATTGTCGGGTCAGGCAGGCTCAGACTGATGTCCTCTGCTCTTCTACGCCACCTGATCCATTTTCGTAGTGCTCCCGCTGCAGCTCCTGGATTTGGTTGTTCACCAGGATCTTCCAGCTGTCTCAAAACCACCATCTTCTCCTGAGTGCCACCAGGTTGGTAAAGCGTCATCAGCTTGGAGACGATCTTCATCGGGGAAAGGCTCTTCGTGCTGATCAGCTCGTCCTTGGCACCACTCGGGATTGCAGCCATCAACATGCTCGTAGCTCTGCGTTCCACCCTCGTCCACCAGCTCCTCCGAAGGTTGGATGGAAAACGTCGCCTTCTGCAATGGTCGCAACTTCACATAGTCAGTCCTTGTACCAGATGTCGCACTCCTGCATGACCTTTGTCCACCAAAAGTGGCTACCATCACTCAAGTCGGTCATCACCGGCTCGATCATAGTCAGCCAATCCGCAAAGTCGATTGGTGCGGTATCACCAGGTTCCTGCAACATCGGCAATTGTGTTACAGCAGGTTTCACCTGCTCCATTAGTCATCCTCCTTGGGCTCGTTTTCAAGCAAGTGCATCATCATCCTGGTCATCACATCCATCTGCTTCTGCATTCGTTCTTGGCCCTCAGGATCCTGTGTCGCATTCCCACGCTTGGTCTTGTTGGCATTGTTTCTAGCTCCACTTCCTCTCGCCCCTGGTGATCTCGATCTCGCATCCAGCCTCCTCAGGTTCTTTCTGTCCTGCGCCTTCTGCAAAACCTTCTCGAACTCTCCGCTATGGGCAGCGTGAAGAACTTGACGATCCTCAACCTCAGGCTTCGGCTCCACAGCTTCGTCCATCATGGTCTGAAGCTTCTGCAACTGTTCCATGGGCGTCACGTCATACAACCCCATGCGCTCCTCCTCAAGATCCACTTCACTGGACTTCTGCTTCTTCCCAAGCTGGCTCTCTGGCGTCTCGAAGTCAGCCTTCTCATTCTGGGTCTCCTTCTCAGCTCCTAGCTCCAGCTTGGCTCTCCTCATGGAGTCCAATTCGCCGGCCATGGACGCATACTCAGTCCGCAGCCTTTCATTTTCTTGTTGGGCTTGGTGAAGTATCGCCATCACCAAGTCTGGCATAGCTCCATAGCCGTGCATTCCGTTGTGAACGCCGCCATAAACTCCAGGATGTAGTCGTCCCCCAGAGAACCCTCCTCCGGTTGTCATTCTCCGCAATGGTGATGGTGTCCCGGTCATCTTCTGCTCCTCGTCGGCCAGGAAAGCCGGTCTCCTCACCTCAGGTGTTGCGAAAGCATTCCCCATTGGCAAGTCCTCCAACGCCAGATGCGCTCCTCCCGCACTTGACGCTGGAACATCCCGCAGAGCTCCAGCTCCTGAGAACAGCGGTGCCTTCTTGTCCATGCCTGCTTCATCTGCTCTTCAGTGAACAACGGCGAGGCTGGGAAGCTCTGCTCAGGCACTGGAATTTTCGGCCCCAGTACCATTGGGTTACCAGTAGGGGGTTTCATCAAAGCTAGCGTGTCTTCTCGAACAGCTGGCAAAAATCCACCTTCCCTACCAATTTCTGTTCGATCTACCCTACTTTCATCAGCCCTTGGGTCCTCAGTTGGATTCCCACTCATCTGTCTCCTCCCAGGTGTCTCACCTCCCCGGGGTTGGTCCTCTGTCTGTTGCCCTTCTGGTACCTGCGGTTCTTCATCATCGTTCCCTTGTGCAGCTTCTGCATCGGATCTCGTTCTCCTCCTTCTGGTCTCCATGGCCATGGACAGAGATCGGGATCGATTGGGCTGCCACAACGCCTAAGTGGTTTTACACCTGCTTTGGGCTCATAACCTGCAGGCCGCAGGTCACCTGTTTTTGGGCTATTGAAAGCGGCTACGGATCACGCCGTAGAGTCTTGAGGTTTCTCATGTACATTTCCATGAATCTCCATGAATTTGAATGCCGCCACATGCATTCATGTTGGAAAATCCTATGCTGTACTTCTGAAAGGGTGCATGGATGTATGGCCCTCTGCAGTTTTAGTATTTTTGAAAATTTTCTTTACCTTATGATAACTTGTCCTAAGTACTTATGTTAAGTCTGGTAACATAGGTATGAACATATAACATAATTACTTTACTTCGAGTCACCCCCACCATGACATTTATACGTTTTGTTACTGGCGAATCTTCTGGCATTCTACCTGGCATATCTTCTGGCATTCTACCTGACATATCTTCTGGCATATGTTCTGGCATATCTTCTGGCATATGTTCTGGCATAGCTTCTGGCACTCTATCTGGCATATCTTCTGGCATTCTATCATTCTATCTGGCATATCTTCTGGCACATCTTCTGGCATTTTATCTGGCATATCTTCTGGCATTCTATCTGGCATATCTTCTGGCATATTTTCTGGCATTCTACCTGGCATACCTTCTGGCATTCTATCTGACATTCTATCTGGCATACCTTCTGGCATTCTATCTGGCATATCTTCTGGCATTCTATCTGGCATATCTTCTGGCATTTTATCCGGCATATCTTCTGGCATTCTATCTGACATTCTATCTGGCGTTCTATCATCTGGCATATCTTCTGGCATTCTATCTGGCCGTTGAGGTCCAGCGGTGCCCACTGAGCTCGGAAGGTCCCAGGTTGAGGTCCAGCGGTGCCCACTGAGCTCGGAAGGTCAGGTTGAGGTCCAGCGGTGCCCACTGAGCTCGGAAGGTCCCAGGTTGAGGTCCAGCGGTGCCCACTGCGCTCGGAAGGTCCCAGGTTGAGGTCCAGCGGTGCCCACTGCGCTCAGAACCTTGCGGTTGAGGTCCAGCCGTGCCCACTCAGATCGAAGCCGGCAGTTGAGGTCCAGCAGTGCCCAGTGCGCGCAGAAGTTGGCGAAGAGATTGGCGAAGAGTTGGCAAGGCGGAAGTGGACGTGGAAGTTGATGCAGACATGGTCGAGGAGAAACTGGAGGAGGAGAGAGAGGAGGAGGAGGAGGCGGAGGAGGAGAAGGAGGAGGAGGAGAACACTCTGATAAAATCTAACAACCCTCACCTGGCAGGTGGGGGGAAAATAAGACACTTCCAATAAGGGCGTTAAAAACTTATATTTTACCCAAACATTTACAACTTCACGAAGCTGGCTGGCTGAAATTATAACTTACTTGTCGAACGTTTTGAAACTTTACATACTTGCAAGCAGGTTATGGAGACGTTATAGAGGGTTTATAAACATGTTATAACTCATATAATTTTGTAAACTCACATAATTTTAAGCGTACAGTCTTCGTGCACTTCCCTGCCAATCACCGGACTCGGACATCGCCAGGACGAGGAAGGCCAGCTGGGATGTAAGAGCTGCCCCGATTCCACCATCACCCTTGGCTTTGGCACCTGGCAGCAACTCATTCCGGGCTGAGAGAACCCTCGGAGATTAAAAAGTCCTCTTTGGTGAGGGCAGGGCGGAAGAATCGAGTTACAGTCACTTTGTTAGCATCTGCATCTGACTCATCTCCACTCAACTGCAAGTTGTTGAGTTGTAGGATTTTTGGGCCAAGGATCAATTGCTCCAAGCGATTGCGGCTGTCCCGAGAAGGAGATTGATATGAACCGTTTAGGCAAGCAACCATATCAGGTTGCCAGTTCCTGGGTGAAACCTTGCTTACAGAATAGAACCTGTGAGAAATACGAGGGGGGCGCAGTATTTGGTAAACAAAATGTCGCATGGAATGTGTCATTTTGCGCGACAAGCGCAGAGATTATTCGTGACAGAGAGTGTCCTTGTTTGTATGGTATACAGGAGTTTACTAGAAGAATGCCTATTACTATTAGTGGTTCATCAGAGTTGCTGGCCAGAGTGTCTGACAATGATGTGCAAGAACAGTTACTCGAAGAAGTGCAACGCACTGTGTCTCGCAAGAGTCTCCTGCAAGGGTTTCTTACATAAATGGTTTGCAGAAGTGTATCAGAAGAGAGTCTGCCGAAAGTGTCTTTCAAGGCTGTCACACAGGAGTGCTTCAGGGCTTTCCCACATGACTGAAAGTGCCCCACAAAAGTGTTTTTTTGTTGAGAGGTTCCTACCATAGTTGCGCAGGTTTTCCCAACATATCCCAACCATGGTATTCTTTCACAAATGTTCATGAAGATCATTTTTAAAACAGCACAAACTCCTGTCCTGTGTGTGCATTCTTGGTCGTGGGCCATACCAGGGGTTTGCCCATAAGTGAGGATTCTTATTTACACCAAGGGCAGCCATGGTTTCAGTGTGTGCTGCAATTTGCTTTTAAAAAAATACTCGGCTACACCCTGCTGCAACCGTGACGTATTCTCCTTTTTCAATTGAAGGCAGAGTAAAACTCCTGAAGCATGCTTACGGCACGACAGCAGCAACAACACCGATATGCTTTAACCCATTCAGCCTGCCTGCCAGACGGCTTCGAGTGCGTCCCATGCATGGAAGGAATGTCATGCCCTGCCCTATCCCAACTGGCTGCTTGCCTGAAGTACTTGTGCAAGCTCTTGGGCAAAAGAGGCAAAAGAGGCAAAAGAAAATATTCCTACCACTGACCTGTTTTGCCAGCTGTGCCAAGACGCTCTCAGCGGCATTCTGAATGATGTTGCCTTTGCAGAGTGGCCTTCTTTGGGTAGTTTGGTTTGATGCTATACTGGAGTTATTTAAACGCAGGCGACCGGCAGCCGACATGTTGACCCCCTTCAGGTTGATTTGGAAAGTGGCACCAGTGTCTTGGGCCCGGACTTCACCCCAAAGATCCAGGCAGGCTTCTACGCAATCGTGGGTGCTCCAACGGAGGCGGGAGACTAAGAAGCGTTAAGCTGTCTGATTCGAGTGCGTGGTTTTCTCCTGTTTCTCCAACAGCAGAAGGGTTTGAGGATTCAGCTAAGGTAGCTGGAGGGCCTTCCTTATGGAGACTAGACGGCTCACTAGCAGAGTCAGACCTCAATCACCCCCCACGTCGAAGCCCGTCACCCTCCACATCACCAGTAGTGGCGTGGGGTGATTGACCTCAGGGCCGTGCATGGCGGGGAATTTTATTACATCAATATTGCTTCGTGATGTCGCGTTTGCTTCTGGATGTTGTTTCTTTGGGTTTGGCTTTAGGTTTTTTTAATTTTTAAAAGTTTTTTCTTTACGGTTTTATCAGGGTTTGTTTTAGGGATGGTTTAGGGTTTCTTTAGGGTTGGTTCAGGGTGTATTTGGGTCTATTTAGGGTTGGTTTTAGGGAGTGTTGGTTTGGGATGTTTGGGGTTTATTTAGGCTTGGCTGAGGCTTTTGGAGGTCGGTTTAGGGTCAACGTAGGGTTTTGTCAGGACTTGTTTTTAGGTTGGCTTCGGGTTTATTTAGGGTTGGCTTACGGTTTCTTTAGGTTTGGTTTAGGGATGTTTAGGGTATATTTATACCCCCCAAAACAAAATCCCCTACAAAATCTAATACGTTAATGTTTGGCACAAAGAATTTTTTGTCGGAGAGGATTGGGTATCTTAAATCATCTCCAAGCAGGTTTTTGATTTGGTAGAGGAACATTTTTAGGATCATTTTAGAGGACACCTTAAGCAATGTTTTTGATTTTGGAGTGGTTTGGGTTTTCAGGACATTAAGGCAATGCTTTAGATTTTGTGAGATGTTTTTGGTTTTGTAGAGAAGTTGCCCTAAACATGGTTTCATTTGATTTCATATGCTTTCGATTGGTTTCATACATTTGTTACATCTATAGTTGACATTAATTTTCATGCATGTCCTAGCATTTTCTGTGGTATTGATTTTTTTGGTTTCAAAGGTACTGATGCTGCTGAAACTTTTAAATTGTCAGGAATAAGTATTGTCGTTATTCTTGGAACACACAGTTAGCTAAATGTAGATAGATCGATAGATAGATAGATAGGTAGATAGGTAGATAGGTAGATAGGTAGATAGGTAGATGGGTAGATAGGTGGATAGGTAGGTAGGTAGATAGGTAGGCAGATAAGATAGATAAGATAGATAAGATAGATAAGATAGATAAAATAGATAAGATAGATAAGATAGATAAGATAGATAAGATAGATAAGATAGAAAGGATAGATAAGATAGATAAGAAAGACAAGATAGGTAAGGTAGATAGATAGATAGATAGGTAGAATAGAATGGATAAGATAAAATAAGATAATATAGATAGATAGATAGATAGATAGATAGATCGATAGATAGATAGATAGATAGAGAGATAGGTTAATTAGATAGATTGATTAGATAGAAAGATAGATAGATAGATAGATAGGCAGATTAGATTAGATTAGATTCGATTAAATTAAATTAGATTAGATAGATAGAAAGAAAGATAGATAGATAGATTAATTAGATAAATTAATTAGATAGATTGATTAGATAGAAAGATGGATAGATAGATAGATAGATAGACAGATTAGATTAGATTAGATTCGATTAAATTAAATTAGATTCGATTAGATAGATAGAAAGATAGATAGATAAATCAATTAGACAGATTAGTTAGATAAATTAATTAGATAGATTGATCAGATAGAAAGATATATATATAGATAGATAGATAGATGGATAGATAGACAGATTAGATTAGATTAGATTCGATTAAATTAAATTAGATTAGATTAGATAGATAGAAAGATAGGTAGATAGATAAATTAATTAGATAGATTAATTAGATAAATTTACTAGATAGATAGGTAGATAGATAGATCGATCGATAGATAGATAGATAGGTAGATAGATAGATAGATGGATAGATAGATAGATAGATTCATTAGATCGATCGATAGATAGATAGAAAAATATATATATAGATAGATAGATAGATAGGTAGATAGGTAAATAGGTAGATAGGTAGATAGGTAGATAGGTAGATAGGTAGATAGGTTGGCAGGTAAGATAGATAAGATAGATAAGATAGATAAGATAGATAAGATAGATACGATAGATAAGATAGATAAGATAGATAAGAAAGATAGATAGATAGATAGATAGATAAGATAGATAAGACAGATAGATAGATAGATAGATAGGTAGAGAGATAGGTTAATTAGATAGATTGATTAGATAGAAAGATAGATAGATAGACAGATTAGATTAGATTAGACTCGATTAAATTAAATTAGATTAGATTAGATAGAAAGATAGATAGATAGATAAATTAGATAGATTGATTAGATAGAAAGAAAGATAGATAGATAGATAGATTGACAGATTAGATTAGATTCGATTAAATTAAATTAGATTTGATTAGAAAGATAGAAAGATAGATAGATAGATAGATAAATTAATTTGACAGATTAGTTAGATAAATTAATTAGATAGATTGATCAGATAGAAAGATATATAGATAGATAGATAGATAGACAGATTAGATTAGATTAGATTCGATTCGATTAAATTAAATTAGATTAGATTAGATCGATAGATAGATAAATTAATTAGATAGATTAATTAGATAAATTAATTAGATAGATAGATAGATAGATAGGTAGATAGATAGATAGATCGATCGAAAGATAGATAGGTAGGTAGATAGATAGATAGATGGATAGATAGATAGATAGATTCATTAGATCGATAGATCGATAGATAGATAGATAGATAGGTAGATAGGTAGATAGGTAGATAGGTAGATAGGTAGATAGGTAGATAGGTAGATAGGTTGGCAGATAAGATAGATAAGATAGATAAGAAAGAAAGAAAGATAGATAGATAGATAAATAGATAGATAGATCGATAGATAGATAGATAGGTATATAGATAGATCGATCGATCGATAGATAGATATAGTATGTTTTTTTTTTATTATCTATATATTTATTTGATATACTTTTTTGTATTGCACATATATATTGTTATTATTGTTTATTTATTTTATATGTATTATATATATTATTTGTTTTTATATTATATACATACTATTTACAATCTATATATATATATGCTTGGGAGACACAACGGGAAGGGGGGGAGACTGGGCGGAGCACCTCGGAGATTGGGGATGCTAAGCAAGAGCCTCAGTTTGGGGAGGCCACGGTAACACACCAGGAAGCTCACAACGGGAACACACAACGGGAGACCAAGGAAACAGTGCTCAGGATCTCAAGCTGAGGCGCACAACAAGAACAAGGGGAAACACACCGGGAAGATCACAACGAGAAAAGAAGAAATGATGGGTAAATGTTTTGAAAAACGTTTGAAAAGGTTTCGCACCTTTTTTTAACTTGAAATATTGATAATATGTTTGTTTGTGTGTGTTGAATATGTTTTCAATGTTTGGTAGGAGTCAAACGAGTCAAGACTCGATGCATTTGCTCAATGTGTTTTCAGTATGTTGTGGATGTGTTTTGAACATGTTTTGAAAGTGTTTTCAATGTTTTTGGTGGGGCTCAAAATTAAATCGCACATTTGTTTTGCAGAAAAAATGGTGTCGGAAAAAGGAGAACTGATTGGAAGCCATGTTTTTTGTGTTGTTTTTCACTTAAACAGAAACAACATCAGCAAATCAGACAAACATATTGATCACATTCCTTGCAATGAAGCGGCAGAAAAGTTGAAAGCACAACAAAGAATCAGAAACAGTGCCTCTACAAAATCCAACCCTACAGTGATTTTTGTTGATGTTTAGATCCCAAACAAAGGTTTCTCCACAAAATCCAATTGTTCTGGGATGACTTTTGAGGGTGTATTTGAACCAAGTTTTTAGTGCCTATATATATATATATATATATATATATAGCCGGTGGATTTCCATGATTTGGATTTTGTAGAAGCGCCGGGTGCCCCAGGTCCTAGCAAAAGTGGGGTTGGGTGTTTGGATTTGTTCGGCTTGAAAGTTTCCTGTTCAAATGCTATGGTTTTGGTTTTGTAGAGGCCGTTTTGGTGTTTTCCAGAAATGTGTCTACAAAATCTGAAGCCCCAACCCCACCAGGTCAATTTTTTGGGGTCGGTATGTATATTTAGGATTATTTAGGCTTGGTTTAAGGTATATTCAGGTTTGGTTTAGGTTTCATTTTGGGGTAGTTTTGCGCTAATGTAGGGTTTCGTCAAGGTTTGTTTTAGGGTAGAAGGGTTTCGTCAGGTTTTGTGTGAGGATTGGTTTAGGGTTTCTGTATGGTTTACTTAAAAAAATATTTTGTTTTGGTTTGGGGTTTATGGATGGTTGGGGTAAGGTATCTTCAGCTTTTGTTAAGGGTTGAATTATGCTTTCCTCAGGGTTTGTTGTAGGGTTTTTTCAAACAATTGCTTGGGATTCACTTGGGGTTTGTTAGGTTTTTTTCTAGATTGGTTTAGGGTTTCTTTAGGGTTACTTTAAGGTTTGCTTAGGTGTCGTTTAGGGTATATTTGGGCTTGGTTTAGTTTTTTTTCCGGGTTGATTTAGGGTTAATGTAGGCTTTAGTCAGTTTTTGTTTTAGAGTCTATTTGGGTTTACTTAGTGTTGGTTTGGGGGTTAGAGTTGCTTTAGAGATCTTTAGAGTTTCTGAAAGATGTAGGATATGTACTAAATACGATTTTCCCTCTTCTAAATTAACAGAAGGCTATGTACAAATATGTTGTGTTGAGGGACTGTTTTGTTGAGGGACTGTTTGTTGTTGACTTTCCGTTTTCCCATGGGTTCCTTGATCCCCCTTCTGGCTTGCAGGGGTGACCGACTCTTTGTTGTTGGCTTTCTGTTTTCTCTTGCGTTCCTGGATCCTCCTCCCGGCTTCCAAAGGGTGATCGACTCTTTGTTGTTGATTTTCTGTTTCTCGATCATGGTCTCCCTGCCTCCTGTGCTGGTGTGCAGTGGTGACTGACTTTGGCGTGTGGGGTTCTCGACTCGACATTTGGGGCGACTGGCTCGGGTGACTGACTCTGACTCCGCCCCTTCCTTATGGTGACTAGATTAGAACCTGCTTCCAGCATTTTCCACCGTTCAGTTCAAGGTTGCACCCAGCAGGTTCCAAATTTCCCCAGCTTCTTGGCCTCAGCTTCTAGCCTTTCAAAGGTTCCAGGGTTCCAGCATTCTAGGCTTTCACCTTGCAGGGTTCCAGATTTACAGCCCCTGCCAACTTGCAGGGTTACAGGCTGTCTGCCTTCCAAGATTCCCAGGCCCCCAGGCTTCGAATGCAAAGGAAGCTGCAAGGTAGACAGTTCAAGTAGATGAAATCCATGTTGCCCCCGGAGTTATCTTGAGTTAAGCTTCAAGTGTGTTCTGAGCTGGTCAGGGGAATCTTCAAGTTTGAATCAAATCATGGATCCAGCATTGCGCGTGCTGACTCACACAACAGTGAGGGGTTCTGCGATGCTTGAAGAGACTGCTCAAGAAATGTACAAAAACATACAAAAACAGCCAATAACTTGGCAAAGCAAATTGTTTAGTTTCAGCTCTCTGCCACTGGGAGATGCACTACACTGCCGAGTTGACTTGCGACTGCACAAGCGACCCCAGGGCCTCCTCCCCTGAAGCTGATGCTTCAAGGACGTAAAGCAAAAGTACAAAGATGTGGAAAAGACGGTATAAAGATATAAAAGATGTAAAACAAAAATGTCTAAAGATATATGAAGTGCATGTCGGATCACCTTAATTTTCTCCTCTGCATCGACCTGGTTTCCCATGAGCAGGTCTTCAAATGCCGCAGCTTCGAGACTTGTCCTGGTGGCCCTCCCGGTACATGTGGTGGTGGGCTAATTGGCATTCCTTGCGCGGAATGTCCTGCAGGCCTGGTGGCACCTGCCAGGTCATCCGGGCGACCTGGCTTGGCGATGCTATTGACTAGGAGTTGCTAGGGTGAGTAGGGATACTCAGGTGCGCTCTGTGCCGCTGGACAATTCTGAGCGCATTCCTCCGCTGGCAACGGGGTACATAGCCCCAATTGCCCACCCGCTAGCTGATTGATCCGCAGGCTCCACTTGGACCGGAAGTGTTTGCGAGGATTGCGCCGGCTGGCGTCAAGCTTTATGGGCAGCTTGGTGATATCCAGTGCTTAGACCGTCAGATTTGTTCAAGACTTTCTTGTTCTTGTAGGCATGCCGAGCATGGCCGAACTATGTGTGTCTCCTATTGTCTCAAGCTGCATCATATGCAACAAGAAAACGACCCGGACAGGACAGACACGCAGAACCACCCGCAAAGAGGCTCACAAACATTCGGATATCATGGGACATGGGATGTCAAGCACAAGAGTTATAGGTTGCAATGGTGAGAAGCGGGTCGCAACCTAAACCGAACCCCAAGTTGCCTTTGTTCATTGGAGGTTTAGGTTTAGGGTCATTTTTTATTTCAGAGATGCCTATCATTGCAGAAGTCGCATTTGAGGTCTTGGCAGTGCTTGCCATTTTCGGATTCTTGACATTGGCCTACTATCTCGCTACTTCTAAGGCCAGTTTCGAGATAGCAAAAGCAGATGTGGCAACCCAGCCATGCAGATAGGGACTGCTCATGTGGGTTTGATTGGGTTTGACCTAGTCACGCATACAGTAGGACATTCCGAATTGTTTGCCCAAGTCGTAGCATCCACCAAGCGCCTGAATCTGGCCCACCGACGGCAAGGTCACGGCAAAGGCCACAGTGCTTTTTGCCACGACTGCATCATTTGGCATGCTCGTGATGGCAATGCAAAACCTGGGTCTCGTTGGCATGATGACCGTTGAGTGGCCAGTAAGCCTTCAGGGGTTGTTCAGCATTTGCCAGTTCCTTCTCCTTGACATCGACAGCTACGGGTTTTCCTGCATTGCCGGGCAGTCAGAACCCGTCCGCTACTTGTTGAGCGCCTTGATCTTCCCCCTTGGTGTCGCATGGCTAGCGCTGTGCTTTGGTGTGTCAAAACTCTTCCCAAAGAAGCGTCAATGGGAAGGACCCAAAGTGTGCTCGACCATGGGAGCCTTCCTGCAAGTAGGCTTCAGCACCATGAGCGCAACATCGTTAGCCCCGATGATGTGTTACCAGCATCCCAACGGCCAGAGAAGCATCATGAAGTATCCCGGCGTCATTTGTGGGTCCTCGGAGCACGATGTGATGTTGGTGATCGCCTGGATATTGCTGATGGTGTTTGTCTTCGGCTTCGTGTCGTTGTGCGCATTTGCTGCCTATATGGTCCCTCGGCCGCAGGGAGTTCTCACAAACGCATGGAGGGCTATTTTATATATTATATATATATATATATATTTGGATTTTTTTTTGGTCCTGGCTCCTTGGCTTTTGGCTTTTGGCTTTTCCTTTCCGTGGCTTTTGCTGGTATTTTTGGTATGTCAAACTTTCACACGTTTCAATACACTAGTTTGATGCGACTGTGACTATATATATTTATATTTTTGTTTAATTGTGTATATTTATTTATGTATATATTTATATATTTGCATATATATATATATTATATTTATCTACTTATATATATAAATATGTATATAGACATAAATGTATATATATATATAAGTATGTATATACAAGTAAATATATGTATAAATACACATACACATTTACTTGTAGATATACAAACATATATATATATATAGATGACATATTTGTGGCTGTTTTTTTACACCGCTTTGATCCCAACATATACTTTAAATAATCACGTAATTATAGCTATTTGTATGTACATGTTGTATCCCTAAACAACCCCTAACCCAACATAACCCAACCCTAAATAGACCCCAAACAAATCCAGAAGAAACCATTAAGCCAACCCTGAATAAACCCTAAACCAAACCCTGCATATATATATATATATATATTAAATACATGTGTAAACGCACTGAAATAAATATAGATATAGTCATGATTAGTCATGCATATATATATATATATATCTCTCTTTACACCTACAATTTGTAGTTGGCACATCGTGTATTTCCAAAAATAAATGAACACTTCAATAAAAAACAATGAAAACCATGTAAAAATCAATGAACAACTCTGGAACCAGAAATGAAAACAAGTGAAAACTGAATGAACCCCATGCACAAATTGAAGAAAAACATAAAAAATGAGAAAACAATTGAAAAATGGAAGAACACCATGGAACAATCGAGGAAAACCATAGAGCAATTGAAGAAAACCATAGAAAAATTGTAGAAAACCATGGAAAATTGAAGAAAACTATGGAAACAATGAAGAAAACAATGGAAAAATTTAAGAAAACCATGGGCAAATTGAAGAAAACCATGGAAAATTGAAGAAAACTATGGAAAATTGAAGAAAACCATGAGACAATCGAAGAAAACCATGGAAACAATTGAAGAAAACTATGGAAAAATTGAAGAAAACCATGGAACAACTGAAGAAAACCATGCAAATCATGGACAAACCAATGAAAACGATGGAAAAAACTCGATAGAAACCATAGAAAAAAAACCTGAAACCAGTCGAAAAATTGATGAACAGTGCGAATGAGAGATTTTAGCTACAAAAATGCAGCAAATCAAATAAGTGATTTTAGTTGCAAAAACCAAGGAAGGGAGCCTGGGCGACAAAAAAAACAAATAATCGAAGGAAGTTTAGAAGTGAAACTTCCGACAATATGGACAGTTGAAAAGCAGAGGTGAGAAGAGTCAGAAGAGAAAAGATCAGAAGAAAGAAGATGCAGGTGCGCGAAAAGGTAGGAACGTCGCGAAACACTTGTGTTTTTCCAATGATTTGTGGCTCCGGAGGGTCGAAAAGTAGGCTCGCTAAAGCGGCGGGTGCGGAGCCAGCTGGCCAGATGAGACATGAAAAAGTGCGCGCCGTTGTGGCGCGAAGCACATTTCCAAGTCAAAATGGACAAAACACTAGAGGAGCGGACCACTTTTGGAAGTTGAGATGTCGAAAAAGTGCACGCCGTTGTGGCGTGAAGCACATTTCCAAGTCAAAATGTACAAAACACACCATTCTCGGACCACTTTTGGAAGTTGCGATGTCGAAAAAGTGCACGCCGTTGTGGCGCGAAGCACATTTCGAAGTCAAAATGTACAAAACACCACATGTTCGCGCCACTTTTGGAGGTTCGGATGTTGAAAAAGTGCACGCTGTTGTGGCGCGAAGCACATTTCGAAGTCAAAAGTGTAAAATACTGAGGGATTTGAACCTTTTTTGACATTAAGATGTCGAAAAAGTAGATAGTGATTAACTTAACTAACTTGACTAACTTAACTAACTTCACTAACTTAACTACCCTAACTTCGACGACAACAGCAACAGCAACAACAACAACAACACCAACCACAACAACTACAACTACAACAACTACAACTACAACTACACAACAACTACAACTACAACTAGGACTACAACTACAACAACTACAGCTACAACTGCAACAACTACAACAACAACAACAACAGCAACAGCAACAGCAACAACAACAACAACTACTACTACAACTACAACTACAATCTACAATCTACAACTACAACTACAACTACAACTACACAACAACTACAACTACAACTAGAAATACGACTACAACAACTACAGCTACAACAACAGCAACAACAACAACTACAACAACAACTACAACTACACTACACAACAACTACAACTACACTACACAACAACTACAACTACACAACAACTACAGCTACAACTACAACAACTACAACTACAACTACAACAACTACAACTACAACTACAACTACACATCAACTACAACTACAAAACAACTACAGCTACAACTATATGACTGCAACTACACTACACTAATTACATTACACCACAACTACAACTCCACTACGCTACAACTACAACTACAGTTGCAGTACATCACAGTACATCCAGCAGTTGTGGGTGAGGTGACCACTGCAACCATTGCAACCACTCCAGCAAACACAACTCCAACCACCTTTCGGTCAATCAGTGGATTCGCTCTGCCATCCGTGATTCACAACAACCGACGTCTCCTATAGGTTTCCTATTCTGAAACTTCCGCCACCGCCTTGTGCGGTACTACTGGTAAAACATAAAAAAAATCAAAAAAAATGCGCACCCCAAACGCATGGAGGCAGACGTCCATTGCAACTGTTCCCAAGGTGCCTCGTTGGAGCGCCAAGCGCCAGGACCACTTTGTCGCCTGTGCGCGCTTCCTGGTGTTCCGCTTCCGCCTGGACTCCTGGTGGTTCGGTGTGCCATTGCTGGTCCGGGGGCCATTGATCAACCTCCCAGTGGTCATGGCCACAGACTTCCCACCAATCCAGGTTGTCGTCATTGCAATGGTTTTGACGACTGGCATGGCGCCTTGGACGCATGGAGGTTTTCAGAAACATCAGATCCAGTAGCCAGTCTTTGCGCATCAGCATAGGACATAGGATTGTGTTCAGGGATGGAGGTATTTATGGTTGTGGCACTCTGGGTTGTAGCTGTAGCTATAGTTCATATATGTTGTTTATGTTAATGTTTGTGTTGTTGTTGTTGTTGTTGTTGTGGTTGGTTGGTTGGTTGGTTGGATGGTTGGTTGGTTGGTTGGTTCGTTGGTTGGTTGGTTCGTTGGTTGGTTGGTTCGTTGGTTGGTTGGGTGGGTGGTCGGTTGGTTGGTTGGTTGGTTGGTTCGTTGGTTCGTTGGTTCGTTGGTTGGTTCGTTGGTTGGGTGGGTGGTTGGGTGGTTGGTTCGTTGGTTGGTTCGTTGGTTGGGTGGGCGGTTGGTTGGTTGGGTGATTTGTTTGTTGGTTGGTTGTTTGGTTTTTGGTTCGTTGGTTGGGTGGGTGGTTGGTTGCTTGCTTGGTTGGTTGGTTGTTGTTGTACCAATTCTTTGATCACAGCGGGGGCTTTGCAATTTTGCTGCCTCCTGTGTCCATGGATCCTCATGCTTGATACTGAGGTGATGCAGATGCTTGCCTGGCCATGGAAGGCTGCAATCCAGCGGGGAGAGTGACGGGGGGCGCCAGTTGGAGGATATCACCACCAATTCACTACTTGGGGATCCACCCCAAAACGAGCAGAGTTATTACCCACTTACTCATCCATGCGCACAGTGTGGATGTCCATGGAAAAAGGTTTGCACGCCCTGTTTGGTTTTTCCGATTATATTCTTGTATACCAAAACATACATAGGTAGAACAGTTCTGTTCACACTCGTTGAAAACGTGTATTTTTTTACTGCAATAAAAACACGCACACATATAGATTTGCCTTGAGTCAAGCCTAATAGCTGTAACAGCGAGACAGCGAGCGCAATCTAGACCACGATTTTGAGCACGAAGGACAGCGCCAAAAAGCACGATTTAGAACACGATTTAGAGCACGATATTTGCCACGAGGGAGAGCACCAAATTATCCCGGTAAGAGACCCAAACCAGTGTGGGGGTGTTGGAGGATAATGTATGATAATGTTGTTGTTGCCGTTGTTGATGATGATGATGATGGTCATGATGATCATCATGATAGTGAGGAGGATGATAATGTTCCGGATGATGACTTTGAGGATGGTGAGGTGCAGGATGATGATGTTGAGCATGATGATGTTGAGGATGATGAGGTGGATGATGATAATGATGTACAGGATGGTGATGCAGAGGAGAGTGAGAATGAGGATTGTAGTGCGGAAGATGAAGTGGAGGATGATAAGGTAGAGGATGATGATGTGGACAAGGAGGAAGGTGATGATGTTGAGGAGGATGATGAAAAGGATGATAATATTGCGGAAGATGAGGTGGAGGATGATGATGTGGCGGAAGATGAGGTGGAGGTTGATGATGTTGAGAATGATGATGTTGAGGAGGAGGAAGATGATGGTGTTGAGGAGGATAGGGATGATGTTGAGGAGGAGGACCGATCCCAAGACCTGGACCCACACTTTGTGCGAGCCTGCGCAGTCGAAATGCACTTGGACATTTCACCAGAGTCACTTGCTGCGAGAATTTACAGGCAAGATGTCGTGGACCAAGGCGGGGACCACACTATGTGCAAACCTGCGCAGTCAAAATGCACGTGGACATTACAAGAAACCTCTGTTCTTGGGAACTGGCCCCTTCTTTCTGAGCAAGTGGCCCTTTGGATTTTTTTTGATGTTTTTAAGGAGATGTGTCCCCACTGTAAGAGTTTTTGTATATGGGTGTTGATCTGAATTCCTTTATCCACGATCCATCATTCTTAGCCAACAAAAAATACTTTAGCCAAACTTTCACCATTTCACATGTTATCTTTCACCAAAGAAAGTTGTATTTCTGTCTGCCATGGTATGACAGATATCAAACTTCTGACCATGTTTAGGAAGCAAATAGGTTCACAGACCCATCAAAATCATACAATGTAAAGAATATCATGTCATTTGTATCATAGAATTGTATTATAGGCTTACCCATAATGGGCAGGGGCACAGATTTGTCAGGGTGAACTTTCACCTTTCTTTAGCTGAACCTAAGCCATTCTTTCACCATTTTCAGGGTAGATTTTCCAGACTTTAGCCATATCTTTGGCCAACAAATACTTTTGCCAACTCAAGAAAAACTTTCGCCAAATGACATTTTGACGTGTTCCAGGGTCATCACCATCAACTATCCCTATTAGGACCTTTGGATCGACAATCATATACAGTGGACACTTTCATATCCATGGTACTCTGTCATATCGTTGTATGACTATCTAGGCTCAAGTGGAGACTGCATTCCGCGTGTAAAAGTTGTAGGCAACCAAGGTGCCCTGTGACAGTTGTGGCTTTGTCATTTGGGATGACGCTGACTTGAAGTTGTAGTCCCTGAAGTAGAGTTAAGCTAGTGGCTTCATGCATGCATGCACTGCATGCAGTTTACATGAAGGCCTAGAGCTGGTCACATGAAGATACTTGGTGCCTTTTCACTTCAACTGGAATTGCGTATTTGCGAGAATTTTTGGTTTTGGGCATTCAATTGGTCAACTAACATCCCCTGGTGCCCTGGTGAAGAAATAGATGAAACAAGAAACCAAGAAATAGTTTAGTGCTATTAATACCTGATTCAGATTTATGTTTGGATGTAGGCTGTAGGTGGAAGATTTTGTTGGCCAGAACCATGTTTTCATCCAGAGGGCAGGCCGAGACAACAAATCCATGAAACATTTTTCTGATGAAACGGAACTGCTGTGATGTGAACCGTTTCTTGTTCTGACCACTGTTCACTTTTTTGTTTCCACTGTTCACTTTTTTGTTTCCACTGTTCACTGTTCCCATGTTTGTTTTTTTTAGTGGGCTCCTTGGACATGTGATCTGCCGGACTCATGCAATGAATCTTTGATGCTGCGGTAACATTCCAGGCAGCGATTTTTTAAAAATGTATTACTCTAGTGCAACCATTCCCCGGTTGTTATTCCCACTGGTCATTGTGTTCCACGGGTCATTGTTCACTGTTCCACTGTTCACTGTTCCACTGTTGCAAGCTTTGAACATCACAGTGTGTACACATACAATCATATGTTCATAGATTCATATATATATATTAGAAATAAGTATTTGTTTATGTGGGATATAGGTAGGGTTGTCCATATGTGTATGTTGGTATCTGATGTACATACATTTCAAAAAAGTACATACATGCATCTGTGTGCATGTAGAGGAAATTGAACCAGTCTGGCAGGAAATTTCACAAATCCCACAAAGAAATTATGTTAACAATTTTCTTGCAAATTTTAAACAAGACTGCTCCCCAGAGGCTTTTGCTTTGGGCTGGACATTGACTATTTTCAGCTTGGAAGCCCCAGCGGCTTTTCAATTTTCAAGCCCCAGTTGCTATAGGATTTGAAGCCTGATTGGTGATTTTCAGGTTGCAAGTTACAATGACTACAATTTTCAAAACCAACCGTCACTAATTGTTTTTCATATGCAGAGCAATTTCTTACTACCCAAATGAAGATACATACATACATACATACATACAACTGATATACAAAGACATTAGATCAATATTGAACAACACAACAGACTTTGGTATAAAAGACAGTGGAGCATGTCCACTTTCTACCGAAGGTGTGAATTGAGCTAGCAAACCCTAATGATTAAAATTGTGGACAATTTTTGGTGCAAAAATTGAAAAACAAAACTTGATGACCAAAGCTGTGGACCAATTTTTTGGTGAAGGAAATTAAAAAAGTAAAACCTAATGACTAAAAACTGTGGCCATTTTTTTAGTGAGGGAATTGAGGGAAACAAAATCGGATGACTAAAGCTGTGGACCAAAATTTTGGCGAAGGAAATTAAGGAAGCGAAACCAAAGGACTAAAGCTGTGGACGAAATTTTCGGTAAGGGAGCTGAAGGAAAAAACTGATGAATAGAACTGTGGACCAATTTTTTTTGGTAAAGGAAGTTCAAGAAGTAAAACCTGATGACTAAAAACTGTGGCCATTTTTTTAGTGAGGGAATTGAGGGAAACAAAATCGGATGACTAGAGCTGTGGACCAAAATTTCGGCGAAGGAAATTAAGGAAGCGAAACCAAAGGACTAAAGCTGTGGACGAAATTTTCGGTAAGGGAGCTGAAGGAAAAAACTGATGAATAGAACTGTGGACCAATTTTTTTTGGTAAAGGAAGTTCAAGAAGTAAAACCTGATGACTAAAACAGTGGAAAAAATGGTGAGGGAATTGAAGGAACAAAATCTGATGACGAAAACTGTGGACCACAATTTTGTTGAAGGAAATTAAGGAACCAAATTAAAGGACGATTTTTTTTGTTGGTGAGGGAGTTGAAAAAAAGGACTAAAACTGTGGACCATTTTTTTGGGGGGAAGGAAATACAAGAAGTAAAGCCTAATGACTAAAACAGTGGACAGATTTTTTGGTGAGGGAATTGAAGGAAACAAAATCTGATGACTGAAGCTGTGGACCAAAATTTCGGCGGAGGAAATTAAGGAAGCAAAACCAAAGGACTAAAACTGTGGATAAAATTTTCGGTAAGGGAGCTGAAGGAAAAAAAAACTGATGAATAAAACTGTGGACAAAAGCATTTGGCGAAGGAAAGTCAGGAAGCAAAGCCATAGGACTAAAACTGTGGCCTTTTTTTTGCTGAGGGAGTCCAAGGAAAAAACTTGCTGACTAAAACTGTGGACAAAAGTTTTTGGTGAAGGAATGTAGAGCAATAAAACCTAATGACTAAAACTGTGGACAAAATTTTCGGTGAGGGAATTGAAGGAAACAACCGGTGGCGGTGGCGGAAGTTTCTCTCTCTCTCTCTCTCTCCCTCCCTCTCTCTCTCTCCCTCTCTTGCTCTCTTTCTCTGACAATCAACCTACCTACCTACCTACCTAGCTAGCTAGCTAGCTACCTACCTACCTACCTACCTACCGATCTATCTATGTATCTATCTATCTATCTATC